ATTATTATTATTATTATTATTATTATTATTATTATTATTATTATTATTATTATTATTATTATTATTATTATTATTATTATTATTATTATTATTATTTAGAAGAACTTCTAGATAAAAAGTTATCCGGTTTGAATATCAAACCCATTGATTTATCAAATGATTTTGCTGATAAATTAGATACTACTTTTGATTATAAAAAAGATGTTTTGTTAGAGTTTAATAAACTCAAAGGATATCCCAAAAAGAATAGTAAGTTTGCTGATAGCAGATATGCTGATAAACCATTTTAACAGGGTGAAGTGGCGGGCGGTAATCCGCGCGGCCTTCTCAACTAAGCAAAAACAGAAATCACCGTTTGACCGGGAACTGGAATTGTTTCGCACCTCTGCTGACATTTATATGTCCACCGAGGTTTCCACCAGTTAAAGATTTCTATTTTAACATGTTTGAGAATTCTTAATCTAGCTAATTCAGTACCCTTATATTTAAAGACTGGCGGTAATCTGCACAATCAGTAAGCATATAAGAATTGAAATATACTTGAATTTTTTATATAGTTTAATGACTGTATAGAAGGTTAAAACCTTTTACTCAAGCAATGGGCCTGTCTTAATATAATACATACTTTTATTGAGCCCATGTGTCTAGCAGTTCTAACCGTGAAAGAAGATGCCCTTTTCAACTCCTTTAATCGGGCTAAGGTTCATGGCTCGCTAGACGAAGCCACTAAGGCAAAGCCAATAAGAGTAGTGCTATATTAGACTGTACCAACCATCTCGAAACCAAGTCAAAATACTATATATAAAACTCATTTATATTTTAATAGATGTCGTCGCTTTTATGGTTTATATAGGAGAGAAGTTAGATATTCAACATAGATATGAAATCTCTTCGTCGGACATCGTCACGGCCAGAGAGGAGCGACTAGAAGAAAAACTAACTAAGAAAGAAATCAGTACCTTTTAGCCGGGATGCAAAGCCTGAAGATGAAGAACTGAAAAATTATTTATTTGTTCTTCTGTTACAAACTTCAAACTACAAACTCTTAATTACACTTTGAAGAGAGAGAGAGAGAATTCTAGAAGAGAGGTCTCGATTTCCTTCCTCTTCTTCTGAACGAATGAAACGTATAAATAGAAAAAGAAAAGAATCTATGAACAGTAAAAGTGGGTCTCTGTTACAGTATTTTTACTATAAAAAATAGTATTTCTATTGTTGATAAACAGTGTATCTACTGTTGATGAACAGTGTATCTACTGTTGATGAACATTGCATCTACTGTTGGAGTGGGGTCCGGCGGCTTCACTGTGCTGTGGGTCCGGCGACTTCACTGTGCTTGTGGGGTCCAGCTGTTTTCACTGTGCTGGTCGTTTGTCTGATTCTTTCATGTTATGGAGGAGTTCTTCCGCATCTTTTAAGTCTTCTTCAGATAACATCCTTTCTGCTTCAATGGGCTGAGAATCTTCAGCGATATCATCGTTGCTGGTTTCACTTTGCATTGAAGTATCTGATTTTTCATATTGATTAATGGAACGAAGTAAATTTCTTTTGACTTCTTCCAAGTAGTTGTTAATCATTTCATCTTTATCTCCTTCCTGAAAGGAGATCTTTCTGGCAATATGCCGTACTGAGCTGTCATCAATCACCTCTTTCTGAGGTTTGCTGGAATATTCTTGGATTTTTATTTTGATGGAATCCAAGAGCTCTTGACCATATAATGTCTTAGTTTTGGGATCCTTTTTCATTAGTTTATCCCAAAAGTTGTTGTAAAAGGTCCTGTATAAGCATGGGACTAGTTCTTCGGTGAATCCGACTTCTGGAGTCCATTTATGAATCCAGGGAATAGAGAATTCCAGAAAGAAATAAATTTGGTCAATTTTTTCTGGGTAACAGATATGACCAGTGTGATATAAATTGCTTATAAAAAGGGATATTTTTATCCATTCTTTGTATAACGCGAGAAATGGATTAGGTAAAATTTTTACTGTCGGACCGTGGTATGACCACTAGTTTAGAAACCAATTAGGAATAGCCTCTGCAAATATCTTTGCACATACTTTAATAAACCAAGTATGTTTGTGTCGATCATTATTGTAGTATAACACTTTATCAAATGCCTGGATATAATCCCAATAGGTGAAATTCATTCGAGATTTGTTAAGGCTTATCCGCCTTTCTTTTATTGTGGATATACCCCAGTCTTCAACAGATATAATCTGTTTAATTATAATCTTCGAGAAGTTATAAACGTTCTCATCTGTGCTATAACCATAAAAATGCTGAAACTCTGCACTGCCAGTACTGGTGAGTATTGTTTCATAATAAGATCGAGTTTTATATGACTCATCCGGATAATATAATCCATTTATCAAATACCTTTGGAATATCTTCCACGGCTCTTCTTTTCTCTGAATGTCAGAATTTTCTAAAAGAAATATCATTTCTTTTTTAGACACTTTCTCGTATGACTTGATATCATCATTGCCATCTTTTGTAATGGAAGCAAAAGTATCACTTTGCTTAGCAGAAGTAACTTTCTATTTTTGAGCAGTCAAATATGCCTGCAAATGTGCGTATAACGGACTATCTTCTGGAATATCTTCCAGATGGACGGATGATCCGATCGATGATTCTTCTCTGAGAGATATCCTCTCATTGGTTAAACTCTTTCTTCCCATTTGTATAACGGGGGAGTTTGATGTGGATCCGTATGACGATCCTGAAGGTGATAATCTTCCTCTGGACTATGGGGATGATCTTCCCCAACCTCTACCTCTTCCCCTACCCTGGGGGGTTCCATCCTGTAAATATTCACGAGATAAGAAATCTGGCAGAGAATTATCAATTCCCTTTTTATATTGTATTTCAAAATCAAAAGGGGCTAATTGAGCCTGCCATCTTGCAAATATCATTTTCGAGGCATCATGTTTAAAGTCTTTGTTAAACATATATTTAACAGATTGTACGTCATTTTTTATCAAAAACCTTTGATTGTATAAATCGTCTTGAAATTTTAAAACACATTTTACTATGGTTAACATTTCATGTGCTACAGTAGCGTATTTTCTCTAGGCTTCAAACTATTTACCAGAGTAGAATCTAATCAGATATTCATGCTTATTATTGGGATTTATCTGTTTCAAAATTACTCCGTAACCAATATTAGACGCATCAGTCTCTATAATCTTTTGCCATGCAGGATTAGCAAGGG